AGAAGGTCCGGTCATCGTTATGAGGTGCGCTCTACACCTGACAGCAGTGTTGCCAACATGGCGACTTTCTCGCTAAATCTGGCGACTTTCCAAACCTTCATGGCAACTTTTTTTGTCAAAAGCTACTGGCGACAAATCTAGCTACTTTTTCTGGTGTTGTTGGAGACTTTTCTGGTGTTTTGACTCTGACGTGAAAGCCCCTCGCGCAGCAGCCCCAGCTGCAGAAAGAGGAGACCCACATTCTCCGTGTCCAGACTGCAAATGAATCGCGCATGCGCAAAGCCGCCGCTGTTCCCGCCTCTCTCCTACAGCGCTCATTACAATTATACAAATTCGGCGATGACGTCAAATTAGCGACTTCTAGCGACTTTTAGGACAGCCAATAGCTACTTTCCTTACTGAGGAGTTGGCAACACTGCCTGACAGGTGTAACCGCGGGGGGGGATGACGTCTACATTACGTAGACTACAGGTATGTACAGAGGTATGTCCAGGAAGGTTGAATGAAGTGAAGACTCGTAGAGCAGCACTTCACGTGGCCAATGAGGTATGCAAAGTTATCTGTTAATACATTATGCCTGTAACTATTGGAATACACGAAGGGGTTAGCCAAATGCTAATATGCTAGGGGAGTCTACATGATGGCAATGCTAATTGCTAATTTAGCTGTAAGCGTAACAGAAGAGAAATTAAAGTTAAAGAGAATTTAAAAAAAAAATTAAAAATATATATATATATATTAACCTATCCTCATTTTAACTGTTGAGTCCAATACACACTTTAAGGTTTTTTTTGGTTCGCCCCAAAGAAGGGGAATATTTAAAAAAGTTTTAAAGTGATTTTAGATGTTGAATATTAGCCAGAATGTCTAAAATATGTGGAACATTTTATAGTTTGAATGGAGTTTTTCTACGTGAATGTTTGAGTGAGTAGATAGCAGATGAAAAAGTATAAATTTGTGTCAATTTTAAACATTCCGTCCATTTATTTGAATGTTTACAAAGTTAAATCACGATTCCAACATGATCTCACTACGAACATCCGTAACGTTGCGTCATTATTTCCTCCGTCTTCTGTAGTTTGGGGGCTACGTGTTTTAATCAGTTTGAATGACGGCATGAGAGGGGAGATGGGGAGGGGGGAGCCTTGTGCTTGTTTCTCCTTTTTTTTCTTTCTTCTTTTAAACAAAACTTTAGTTTTCAGACTGTGAAAAGTGGACGGGTCCAATGCTGCCTTCTGAAGAAGTGGGGGGGGGGGGGGGGGGTGTCCCCTGTGTCACCCCCCGTAAAGTTCCGCCCTTGTCCACACAGCGTTTGCTTCTGCCGTTTCTATTCACACCTCTCCTTATCTTCCAGACGCACCTTTGCTTTGCAACAAACTTAACTCCCCGCCTCCCCCGAGGTGACGCACGCTGCGACTTGCCGCTGGGGAAATTATGACCACTGTGCGATGAAATGATCTGGACTGATATCACTGTATTTACTGAAATGTGCGTATTTGTCGGATTTGGCTGGCCTCTGAATCACTCTGTCCTCTTATCTAGTTGTCCACCCCGAATCCCTTCTCCCCACTTCTTCTGCATCCTCTCATTTTTCTTCCGCTACTTCCTTCATCATCTTTTATCGCGACCATTATCCTCCTCAACGTCTTGAAACTCGTAGATTTGATCTTTCATGCTGTTTTTCATTATTTAGACTGGTCGTTATTCAAAAGTTTGCCCTCCCGTACGTCTCCCAGCTTCTTCTCATCCTTTTTATTTAAGCAAAAATATTTGTTCGGAAGACTCGCCTGATTTGTTTTCCGACTGCCTCAAGTTCTTGCAAATGTAGAACTTCTCTCTGTGACTTGTAGTCTGTTGATTTAATTTGATTTAATTTGATTTAATTAAATTGTTGGCCACTTGAGGGCAGTCATGTTTCTGGCCACCTGATAATTGCGAGTCCAACATTAACTCTCCTTTTCTGTTTCTGTCGTCCATTGACTCCCGAGGGAGACATCTGGCTCTTTAGCCGCTCCTACAATAAGCTAACTTTGTCTCTCTGTTGTTTATTGGTGCTCTGGCAGGTAGCGTACGGTAGGCTAGAGGTTTGACATTAAAAACAGCTGCCGGCTTCGCCAGGATTATGGGGCAGTAAAGGTGTAAACCGTGAAACGACACAATCGTCCCGAAAGATGCCAAAACTCCCGAGCTCGATGAGGGGAACTGTGGAGTTGGGTGATATTTCTCTAGCTTCAATGATGGAAGAATGATCTCATTGTATGGCAGTCTAACATGTATTCTCTATCAGCTTGTTCCAACTCGTCATTGAAAGTGATGTGGACACTACAGCTACACCCCTCCGTAAAGCGGAAATATTTCATACTTGGAAACTTGAGGTTTATGTAATTTAGCCCGGAGCAAAACAGCTGGACTCAGACACACATGAGTAGACGCCTCCAAACATGTATTGTTTGCACAATGCAACTTCCAGATGGGGAATCGGGCACACACACACACACACACACACACACACACACTCGTAGCTTTTTTTAAGACCGACTCTGAGAACGTGCGGCCATTATTGCGTCTGTCTCTCTCTCTATGTCCTTCAGATGCACAACACGCCATGCACACGGCCCCCATGATACCACTGTGAGGGCCGCAGGATAGCAGCAGCCCCACAGCCAGGTGTGCGTCTCAGCAGGCGGCAACTACGAATCAGTGAGCAACTTGGGTGACATCGCGTCTCCTGCAGTGCCTCCGCTGCTTCCTGTTTCTGCTGTCCTTCATCTCTCAGCAGGCGATCCCTATCTGCTTCATTTGTTTTTTTTATGACTCACCCAGCATGTAAAAGGACTCTCTGTTGCCTTCTTTGTAGTGGGGCAGAGTAACATCTCATCCTCATGCGACGTGGAAGGTCAAATTCTTCTTCTTCTTCTTGTTCGCCTCACAAATCATACGTTTACGGCTTGGATCATCAAGTGTCTTCTTTGGAAGGAAAGCAGAGATCTCTCAGAAGAAGACAGGAAAGCGTTTCATTGGCAACACAAAGCTTCTGGAGGCAGGTGGCCAATGTGTTTACCTTGGCTCTCTGAGGCACTGTCACACCAGAGCGTACTCATGGGTTTATCATCGTGTTGACACTCAGCGGGATTATACAAAGACAGAAACAAGCAAAGTTTAACAGCCTCAGACCCGCAGGAGAACACACACACACACACACCATGAAAGAAACTCCAATCCTCCAAAGAAGAGGGATCTTGAGCACTGCAGAAAGCACACACACACACACACACACACACACAGATTTGGCCCTCTTGAGCTTGTTCCCACTATCTCCTCCACTTCACTTCAATTCACCACACTTACCTTCAGGGGGAATAAGCTCCCTGCATCTTGTCTTTCAGGCTGGGTAAGGTAAACAAAATGCTTTTCACTTGAAAGACAAAAGTTTCTCAACTTCCTAATTGATAATCCTGCTCTTGTTTTTGTTTTCTCATGACAGCGGCGTCCTCTGACGATGCCCTCTGTGGCTCTCTCGCTTTTGTTCTGCTGTAGCCTATAAAACACAGTCTAGTCTATTTTAGTGGAGACCCCAGCGAGTTGTTCCATAATTAGGAGGGATCCGAATCGCACTCATTTGCTTTTCAGGACTGGAACCATTATCTTAACGTCTCTCCCCGACTCTTACCTAACACAAAAAAACAGCATATCCTCCTGGTAGACTGTTTTCCTCATCCGTCTATCCCTGCGAGGGGAACTTGGCCCTCTTACCAACGAACGCGCCCACAAACCAAACGCACACACAGCCGCATGCCAGGTCCCCCCCCCCTCTCCCCCCTTTTAGCTATAACTCCTACAAAACGCCTGTCATCCTTGCTCAGTCATATGCACGCGGGGAGTCAGCACAAGCCGATGGATCAATTTAGTACAGAAAAGCTGTGGCATTCTTCAAATGTAATGGGCTTTGATGTCGACGCTGAGCTGCATTACACACACCCTACTGAAGCCACTGAAGCCTCTTTTCATCTGCCTGCTTCCCATGCAGAGGACGCCGGCAGGAAACGTGCCTCACTTCTGCTTCTCTGTTTCTTTTTCGTGTGTGTGTGTGTGTGTGTGTGTGTGTTCTTCTTCTCCTGCTTGGAGGAGTGCAGTTTGTGGTTCGCACATCCTCTTTCACTTTCACTAATTTATGTTCCTTTCAGCTGCATGGGAAATAGCTACTTCCTTCCCAGCTTGTTTCGTGTGATTGGTTCTCCCTGCCAGCCAAAATCTCCCCATTGACCCTATTGGTGACACCAACATGATCATGTTGAGCCTTTATGCAACTCTTATGAGATTTCTCTGTTTCTGCAGTAGGAGTCCATCTGTGTGACACTATACTGTCCCTCCACAGTGACAGACTGCCCCCTTGTGGACAGTTAGTTCATAGCATGTGTTTGCATCGAGTTGTTTTCCCTTATGGATCGGTTTGTTCACATTTCTTTGATTGTGTTGTAGTGAAGATGTTTAAAAGTTATTACAAGTCTGCATTCACAGAGGGATGTGAAATTGAGTTGTTTTATACATCAGGAAAAGATAATATTTCAGATATGCGGCACATGAGGGATCATAACAAGCAGCATGATTCATAAATAGGTACATTTCTTACAATAAAGTCGAGTTAAATATAATCATCCAATCGGACATTCGCTGGGAATACCCATTCTATCAATGCTAATTTGAATTTCTAACCACAAGAGTAAACCCGAGGCTTCTTTCACTCCTGCAGCTGCAGCACTTCACCGTTCTCGCAGTAATTATAACCGTTTCATTGCCAAACGTGTCTCGCTATCGACATGCGAGACACGTCCCCCCCCCCCCCCCCATTTCTACCAATTTCTGTCATGCTGTGAATTGCAAAAGATCCCACCATTTCCATTTGGCTTGTAATTTCGCCTTAATGACCGAAAAATTGGTTCGCATGACGGTTCAAATTGCTCAGACACTCAACGGGCACATTAAATGAAGACGACGCAGGATTTTGTTTTGAAAAGCTTTATTTATAATAACATTTAAAAAGTCATCCAGGGGGGCAAGCGAATAAACAATAATACGATCAAGATCATTTACTGCCCTTGGCTTTGAGGTGGACTGAATACAAGTGAATCAAACAGAAATTGCTTCAGTTTCAGTGTGTTTTAAATGTGTTGGTGATCCGAGCACAGAGTGTAGGGAACAACAACGCGCGTCTCTCTGGTTCATACTGTCCACGGACCGGTCTGACCACACCGGCCAACATTTCCTGCGAGCTGCGGCACACGGCAAGAACACACCACCATGGTGCTTTTCTAGTGTAAGACTGGCTCTCACGGGCCAATCGCTGCCAAGAACGGGTCACTTATAATGCTCCGTGTTCTGCATTAGAGAATGTGGATTTGGTGCAAATTGTTTTTAACTGTGTTGGACATTTTCTGCTCAATGATACTGAGTGCATGAAAAGTCCTGACTGTGCTGAGAGAGGTTAGTTTTCAAAAGATAAGGCAAATTAGACATTAAATTGGCCATTAGTTGGATCAAAACCATGTGGGCTACAATCGTTTATTTTTCAAATGTATTTAGCATTTTATCAGGATGTAAAATCGCACATTGGCGCAGAGATTAAGTTCAGTTTGAAACAAAGTAAAACGAATATGAGACCGATAACTGTGAACCACATACATCACTATTGTATTCAATAAATGCGACAAGTACTGAAGGAGACGCACAGAAATATGCGTGATTTGATAAAAGAGAGAAACAATAAATGCACAAAATTAGTAATTGTGCAAAAATATTTTCTTCTCCGATGAGATGCCCAACAGGCTGCGGGGCTTGTAGTCGTGCGTTTATCACAAAGAGGCCGCTCATTCACAAAACTTCGATAAGAATCTCAATCCTTTTTTATTTGAGTGTGAGGTTTAATCGTGTCATGTAGCACCGAGAAACTGACCTTTTTCTTAAGGATGAGTATCTTTTTTTTTTTTTTTTTCAGGGAAATCAACGATACTAGCTTTGGAGACGTGTTGTGATAACTGGCACATTAAAGTCTTTGACGCCAATTTCAATCACGGACGGCTTCAAAAAACATCAGTAGATATTAACTGAGGTTGATTAACCAATCTTAAAAAGATGGTAAAAAAGGTTATTTGACCTCAAGTAGAGTGTAAGTTCCCAGGTCAGCGTTCAGTGGTTAGTCTGTGACGCAACCAATGCTGCCTCAGAATCCATCAGTCCATCCGTTGCTTCGCCCTTTAGTGGGACTATTGTTTTGTGCGTATCAAGTCTCAAGATTCCCCCTTTTTATTCTAAACGATATCTACAATATCACACGAGCAAGGCTGCTGTTCTGCATCACACAAACTGCTTCCATCAGTGCGTTTGCTGGACTATTTCTTTGAAGTGATATGTTGGCCGTGAAAAGATGGTAGTTCAACGTCCACCACACGAGAAGGCATGAGGGTTGAAGACCAACGTCGGAGTCCGTGATGTAGACAAACAAACGAAGTGACTATTTAGCTTACTGTTCCTTGAAAACACACAACATAGAAATATCGATGGCACGTTTATTAAAGTAAAAAATAAACCCAGTTAAGCCTGTATTTGTTAGTAAATTAACTATACGTAACATTGCAGCTTCAACATTCCATGGAATGTAGCACTATATCAACACAAATCAATGGCAAAAAAAAAGAAAAGTGCATCACATTATGTGGTGTAGAAAACTCTAAGACTTGCCGGTCTCTTGGCGAGTTGGCCCAGGCACTCAAAGGCACCATCACTGGTGGTTTACAGGGGGCCAGTCAGACGGGGAGACGCAGCAGGGGCCCGACGCAGGTGATGCGACCTACACAGACGCACAGCAGTCTGACCCTAGCTTAATTATATCACAACCATCTCCGCACAAAGACATGTCGAACACTGTCGAGAGAGCCTGATGCGACGGTAGCGAAACACAATAGCACGCTATATGGAGATAGGCGACGGAGAAAGAAACACGACTCATTATTTACAGCCGGTACACACACGCGTGCACACAGCGCTGCGTCCATCACCATACATCATCACACCGGCTCGTATTGTAAAACAAAGCTGACTGCGTCTCCTCATTGCCGTCGTTTCACTTCACACCAGATGATGACAAACGGGCATCCAGAGAGACCTCCAGCAGTCACAGCAGCAGCTTTCATCCATGTGGAACTATAAATTATTGCAATATTTAATACTAAATAGGGATCATTTACGTTTATTCAACAGTATAAAATAAGCCATCGTCAATGGCTGCCAAGGCCAATAGATGGTAGCAGATCAAATGTAAGTATTACAAGTAGTGCCCTTCAACAATATCCTAATAACTTTAATCCTGCGGTGTGCAAAGTCCAAACGAAGCTATGTTAATGCCGGTCTGATTTGAAGAGGCAACACATGACGGTGCAGTACACTGTACTAGCTTTGCTGATGCGGCTTGTTCATGATAAATAACAGTGACACCTAGTGCCTATTTTCAGCACCATTATCTGAAGCTGATTTAGCCGATCAACAAACAATAATTTAGCACTTTTGACCTAAATAATGAGCATCGTTGGTCAACCCTGTAGTTGTTACTGTTGCAGCAAGTCCAGCGTGTAATAAGAAAGACCTCTGAACCCTTGAATTCCTCGCTTGAAGAAAAAAAAAAAAAAAAAAAAAAAAAAACTTGTAAGAAAGATAACATGCAAACAGCAAAAACCCAACTTTGTACAACTGCAGTTTTTTTTTTTTGTTTTTTTGCTAAAATCTTTCTGCTATAGACCCTTTTACAGCAGACGTCATCAAAGGTATGCGTGCACACGTTGGCAACGGAAGAGGCGTTTTGCCCCGAGCCATCCAGATGAGTTAGCGAGCTTTAAATATTGACTTAAAACTGTTGCCAGCATCCAAACGTTTGGTTGTTGCATGTTTTGGTTGTCAGAATCGATATTCCAACAGCAGACTCAATAATAGCAATAGTTATTTACCATATTTCAAAGTTTAATTGGAAGGCTTTCACTGGGACACCTTCACGTTCCTTTTGTGTTTTTCAACGGCTGCCGTCACTGCGAGCAACCACAGACGCCGAGAGTCACCAGCTGACACGGTCACTCGTTAAACCGCAACACTGCCGACTTCTATGGCTGCAAGCTATTAAACATGTTGACTACCACTGGACTGTTTAAAAAAAAAAAAACGACTGCTTTTGTTGCCAAACCGCGTGCGCACGCTTACGTACGTCCTCAATCTTTACAAACTGTAAAAGGGTGTATTGATAGACCAGGTTGATTTGGCATTGGGCTGTGACGTTAAGATTCAGAGGAGGCCCAACCCCAAACTCTGCGGTGTGGATGCATTCATTGGTTTCCACTGACTCTCGGCTAAGATGTTGTCACAGTACCACTGAGCTGTGGGGGTCTAGCTCTGAGAGAAGTACTCCAGGACGAGGCGGAGGTGTCCCAAGCGGTCTTTGAGCGAGGACAGAGACAGGACAGTGGTTTGATAGGCGGGGTCCAGCTGGAGGACAGACAGCAGCCACCAGCACCAGGCCGGACCGTTGGAGGAGGCCTAGAGGGATGGTAAACAAAGGATTAGAATGGAAACCTGTTGATCAGGACAATGCATCACGTACCACACCAGCCCATTAGCCTTGTTTTAGTACGAATCACTTGACATTACTGTTACCCAACTGTGGTAGAAAATGTATTAGATGTGAAGAAATGGATGGTCACCGACACAGCAACAGGCTACGAGTAATTTTCAATGGAAGTCTGTGTGTCAGCCAATGATATGTTTTTGTTTCGCTCCGCTCCGTTCCATAGAGAAAACAGCCGTGGGCCAGTTCCCAGTACTTTTTTTTTTTTTAAAGCTACGCCAACAAGCGGTTGAGCAACACTTCAAGGAAGCCGGCCACGCTTTAGTTGCTTCTGTTGCCGGTAGTGAGTGCATGGCATCAACAGTCCTTCACATTTGGCATTCTTTATGTAAGCAGGCACTGGGTATCCAGAAGGTTAGATAAGATGTTGATAGTCCCGACTCCCATGGTAAAGAAGTCTGGGCCAAGGGTTACAAAACACACATTATTTTACAGCTGAGCGACTGTAATGTTGCTTTAAGCTTTTGGTACGTCTGTGTACACACACACATATATACATATACATGGTTCTCTGATCAGATCTGTGTCGTAATAAACGCATTCAAGAAAGGACAACTGGGGCTCATCAAGCTATTTATCTAAATGAAGAGTGACCTGAAGTTTTCCACATCATCTTTTCATGCATACTGTAATGTTTTGGATCTCTACATTGCGTCTTTCTCACCTTCCAATAAAGCCAATGTTTTCCATTGAACTGAAGCTACTTCCCTGTGAGCATCGTGTCTATTTTTACTGTTGTTGATGTTTCCACCGTGCAGTAATGGAGCTCTGAGTGCAGTTATTTTCTTTGTGCAGAATTACTTATTGAAAGCTGGATTTAGATATTTTTCCATTCCATGCTGAAATGAACGGAGCATGGATAAAACTGAATTTAAAGAAAAATAACAAGAAAATAATGACAGGCAGTGGTTTGTAGGAATGTTTAGTGTCCATGCTTATTAGCCACTAAATGCTGCTCTGGTCAGCAAGGAAACATTATGACTTCAGTGGTTCCTGGATACGGTGAGAGACATTTGTTGTTACAGTAAAAAGCCCAACCTGAATGTTTTCCTCCTTGTCTGGCATGGTGCCGTACTGTCTGTTGATCTGCTCGCGAATGCGGTTGCCGAGGCGCTGGTACCAGTCCTGAGCCTGCTGGTACACGCTGTCGTGGAGGTGCTCCAAAAGCTCCAACTCGCCACCATCAACCTGGACAAGAGAAGAGATAAGAAGAGGTTGTGATATTTTCCTTGTGCATCTTCTTTGAATGTTGCTGTAGTTTAGCGATCCTGACCTTGAGGTCCTCCAGGTACTCGATATCAGCGGTGTGGTAGCCATCTCGCTGACTTCTCTTGACCACTTTGAATCTGTTGCCTCCCGCTGCGTCCACGTAGGACCGGCCATCGGCCAGCTGCTCCAGACTGTTGATTTCCAACATGCACCCATAGTCTGCAAACCTGAGGCAAAACCAAGTCTTCAATCCGTAGTACCTTTTATTTATTAATGGGATTTTTGGTGTTTTCAGTCAAAACAAAAATGTAATATTCATCTTCGTTGAACAAAATCCGGATCATTTTGAGCCAAAAATGTATTCAAACATTTTATATTATGTGCGCTTTTTAGGGACAACTACCGTATGAAAGAATACGAGTACATACATTTTGTCTATTTTATAACCCCTGATTGATCAAAGATACGGATACCGTTGCTTGCGAATCACTAAGGTGATTAATCTCTCCAACACCACACAATGACTATGTTTACATGTGGGCTATGCCGTTATTATTCAGGTTTTAGGAGCATTCTTTGGACATGTGTACAGCGCATTCGGAATATGCTTCTCAGTCGGGGTTTTTACGGCACTTTACTACACATGGCCTCGTTCCTGTTGACGACTGGCTCTGTGTGTTGAACACAAACCAACTAGTCAGTCGTTTGCAAAGCTGGAGTAGAGATGCATGCCCTAAAGAAAAGCCCACATTTCTGAGGAAAGCAAAATGACTCGAGCGGCAACCTGCCATACCACTTTTCCATCGTGGCTTAATTGACTTGATAAAGGACTTGTTAGGCCATCGACCCGTCAAAACGCAGGCGAGAATGGCGTTGACGTGGGATTCACTGGTCCCAGTGATGAGGAGGCAGCTTGGGGTAATTTTACATTAATTGGAATGTGCACGGCTGCATGTAAACGGGAATATTAGCGGAATATTCATCTTCATTGTATTAGGAATATTGTCTTTTTCAAAGTAAGGGTAACAATTTGAATATTTGGTGCATGTAAATGTATTCAATAAAGCAGGGCTTCATGGACTTTAAAAAGTGTTCAGAAGTACTTTTCTTTTTTGTTTTTTTTACCTGCACTGTCCACACAAAATACCTCATCTTGGTATAAGCTCAGCAAAGTGTCCCGTCACTGCAATTAATGTTGAAGAGAAAGGGGGAACTAATCTCACAAGAACTACTGAAACGTGTTTTAAACGAGGCAGACTTAGACAAACTGCATAATCAATGAGTTTCAGCAACAAAATGCTTTCATACATTATTTTGCATATTTCAATATTAGTTTAGGTAATAATCGTGCCTGATATTTAATGCACCATTACGACATTATGTACAGGGGAACGAGGAACACATATCTGGTGGAGGATGAAAATATCCAGCAGCTCTCACACCAGATTGGTGACCATGCTGCTATTTACCACCCACTCAGGATCACTTCTGACTGATATAACTTTGCCCAATGGGCTGTCTGCTTGTGCTAGCCGTGCTGACGATCCCGTCAGGTTCCACCTAGCTTGCTGCAAAGCTTCACAGTTCGGTAAATGTCAAACACGGTCTCTCCATGCTCCGAAACCTGTGTGAATGTACGGGGCCTTTACCTCGCTTGGTTCAAAACTGCCTATATTTTGATGCGGCAAACATTCGGACATTATTATCAACCCAAATCCACAATTCTCAATTAAATAGGTTGCTATAGATAATTAAAACCAAAAAAAGAGTAAATTGCATACCCCTTGCCATGCTCATAGCAGCACATGCCAAACTGTTTGGTGCCAGTCTCCATGCAGCGGCGCATCATCAGCCGATATCGAGGCTCAAAGATGTGCAGCGGGCACGGCACTCCAGGGTAGGCCACCGTGCAAACAAATATAGGGATGTCTGTAGTTAGACTACAGAAGGAGGAGACAATAAATACAAATAAATAAGGGACAGAACTGTGAGGATAAGGCAAGGTGTAAGTTGCTAGAATGAAGTGTAGATCGCGTGAGGTGGGTGCGTACTTGGACAGTTCAGCCATCTCGGTGTCATGGACCTGTTTCCTCTCAGCCAGCGGGGAGGGAAAAAGGCGGGTCATGATGTCCTGAAGCAGAACTGTGGGGTTGTACTTCCTGTTTTTGAAGTACTGGGAAGAGAAAAGTGAAATCAATCAGCCATAATAGCAACATTATGATGCTTATGAGCAGACCTGGGAGGGTTACTTTAAAAATGTATTCCGATACAATTACTAATTATTACCTGTTAGAAATGTAGACGGTAAACCTAATCAAAGTACCACAATATTTTTGCAATAGTTTGCATACTGTGTATGCCAGTAGATAAATGTATAAACACAGTTGTTATGACAGTACTGTTTATCATAGGTGTGACCGTTTGTCACCAGAAAACAAAACATAGGAGTGAGGAAGCAGGAAGTTGTCTCGGCCTGTACCTTTATGGGAATTAAGCAGATGAGTTGTCATAAAAATCAAGTAGGATAGTAGAAACATATTCATGTTGTTAAAAATAGGCATATGAAAGTGTCTGTAGGTGGTTACCTCTTGTAGTGGCTGTTTGCAGAGTGGACAGCGGAGGTTGTGGTCCAGACTCCTCTCTATGCAGTTTTTACAGAAGGTGTGACCACAGGGAGTAGTGACTGGCTCAAAAAACAACCTTCAGACGACAGAAGGAGACATACGTTAACGTCGAGTAAGGACATTCGTGCTATTTGCACAGCGGCCGTACGTCTGGTGAGTGTTTGTGCGCGTCTAGTGTAAGCGCGCTAAACATTAACCAGCCAGAGAGGAGGATAGGGTCAACCTGATGTGACACCAGAGCAGACAAGGTACAGACAGCGATGCATTATTGATTAGAGCCAATGCACCGGGACACCCACCTAATGCAGAGAGGGCACTCAAAGTCCGACACGGTGAGAACTCCCAGAGTTTTCTCTCTGCTGTGACCGCTTTCACCTAAGAGACAGAAAAGAGACTTTTAAGCGCTGATGATGATTTTGCCCCGCTGAGGAAGAACTAGTAATTATTATGCAATTTTCAAACCATCTGGTGTTGTGGTAAAGCTGTTTGTAGCGACGATGATTCACGATGAGGACAATTTATAACAAATGTGTGTCTGCGTGCGTACCCCTGCCATGCCCGTCGTCCCTCCTCATCATCATCTCCTCGTCCTCTTCCGCAGCCGGGAGGAAGGAAACAGCTTGGCAGAGGCTGAGGCAGCACTCGGTACCCGTGTTGTGCTTCATCGTGGAACCAGAGAGACGCGCAGTTTTGTAAGTTAGGGTTTACTGTTGCATTTCAGCAGCTAACGGTTCTAACCAGACACTAGAGTGCACATGAGAGCTCACCTGGTGGGCCTCTCTCCCCTCGTTTCCCTCTCCGTCATCCCCGCGTGGACGTTTGAGGCCCTCGGGGTGAGTCGGCCCCTGAGAGCCGCTGAGGCTGGTAATGGGACAGGGCCCTTTCAAGTACTCGGACACCACTTGCAAGAGGCAGGACACCTCGTCCGGCACTGCCATGCCCTCCACCTCCAGAATCTGCCATTTGAATTCATGGCGAGATACAAATGAGTCACATAAAGGTATTATGATGAATGATCAAATCAAATGATAAAAAGCCATTGTTGGTCATTTTGGAATACAATTTAAGTTCAATGTGGATGTATATATTGGATTCACTTTGCATGTAAAATGCATTGAACCTAATTTCTAAAATTAAAGATGTATTAAATTGAAATGACTGTGGAAGTTAATATTTTTTAAGAAGTTAATTAGTATCAATACTAAGATTACAACCAACACTTCTAGTACTACTAATAAAAATGGAAAATTACAACAATAATTTAATAGTTAAATATACGTAGGAAGAATAAATTCACACGACCAAAACTTCAGAAAAATAAAAATTTAACTGAAAATAAATGTTTTTTAAGCAAAGCAACAAAAAAAAAAAACCTAAATCTTTGGCTTCTAAACATATGAACCATAATGTGACCTATAATGAGAAATCAGACAAGATTCCATCTATTCTAACCAACACAGACTCATCGTTTATGGAACCGAGTGAATCGATCTACTTACAAATGAGCACATGATGTGTCTGATAGCAGTGCTGTGAGCTAATCGGTTCATACTGCAGCTCACACTCTAAAAGGCCAAAGTCTCCCGAGTAAACTTGTTCCTTGTCGGTCTCATCAGTTTGCAGGGGGAAAAACAACAACAACAACAACAAAAACGTGGAATTGTATCAATCTATACAAACGCTACCCTCAAACAAACCTTCTGGATCTGGCTCTTTGCAGGGACAAAGTCAGCTTGAAGTTTTAGGCAACGATGGAACTGGACGAGGGCGTCCGTCTGCTGACCCATTTCCAGCAGCACAGTCCCTTTACGAAAGAAGCCCTGCACAAAGAGAGGACGTCAGCACAGCGCTGCCTGTATGGACGAATGAGGCGTCTAAAGCGCCTCGCTGCAGAGAACACAACACTTCTACGCAACGTCATCAATCTGAATTACCTGAATTGCGTCGTGGCATGATATAACGCTTATCATATTTGTTTTCCTACTTGTGAATAGTAAAATGTGACGTGACGTTTGTAAGTAATACAACACATCTCTAGGGGAAACCAAATGAAACAATATAAATGATTTTATCCAGTGGGTGTTTTTGCATTTACACGGAGCCACCCACTGGCTAAATGACATTATGAAATAAGTAGCTGTTTGCATAACTTTGCAAATGACATAACAGCAATACAAGCAGAGAAAATGTCTCTAAAGGCCTCAGCTTTGCACACCGAGACAAGGTGTGCAAAGCTGTTTACATGCATGTTACAAAACCAACCGACGGAGCGCAGTTCAGCGGAGGTCGCAGCACCACAGGGGCGGACCGAAGTGTTAAGGGCAAGCTTTACATACGGCACTCTTAATGCACGGCTTCAACCGATTGGTTCGTGTCTCTCACCTCGGTCCAGTTAGGACGAAGGCAGCAGAGGTAGTCGAGGTCTGTCAGAGCGTCGGAGAAACGCATCAGGCCCCAGTTAGCTTCGGCTCTATGCAGCTTCAAACTCTGATCATTGGGGACTAAGGACACACACAAAAATAGAAGGTAGGAGAGAGAGAGGGGAAGAAACAGAGAAAGGGAGGAGATATTACTTGCAGAGCTGTGGCTTTAATGCTTCAATCTATTTACACGCCTTTCTCCATATAATCATTCAACATGTAATGACAGGCACGCAGCAGCCTGCATACTGTGGTTCTGCTTGCTTTGAAACATGACGTGAAATCTAAACACTGCACAGCAGGGCGTTTACTGATCCGCATTCAATGCTCTTTCTTAGCCACGTCCATTATACACTTTGTAAAGTTCAATTTATATAAGCTTTCTACAACAGTGTAATTACACAAGCCTAAAACAATGTTACGTTAACGGTGAGTTTATGCATCATTCACAAATGGGTGTGTCCCCCCCCCCCTCCCAAAACAGATTGTCTTCGATGAAGCACCAGGTTAGATTTGTATACAGAAAAGTTCAAACTCGTAAAGTTAAGACTGGATTGTTACATAAGTGTTGCATGCGCACAATCACGTCCCGTTTCTGTTGATGTTTAACTGTTTATGTGTGACGTACAAAACAAACACTCAAATACACCTGCGACACCAACATGTGGCAGGTGGCAGAGAGTCACTGTTACATAAAGATGTTGCTCAGGTCAAGCCACGTTTTGTTGTAAGGCCTTAATAATTACAGCCGGTGCTCAACAATGCCCACATTATGAAATATTACAGGAAGAATTCGAGGCACAACCCCCAAAACCTTCAATGGCAAGTGGAAAAAACGGATTGTTACACAAGGACAAAAAAAAAAAGAGGGCTGGAGCAAGGGAAGCAGCAGTGTTTGATTGGGCTGGCAGAGACGGCAGACGTGTAGAGTAACTCAACTGAAAACACTCACCGCGATCCCCAGGACACCTATAGTGACCAGATAACCTCATCTATGGCACAAGTTGTCCCTCTTAACCTCCTCACTGCCGCACGGAGAAAATAAGGTCAGTTGCACATGCAGAGGGTGCAGTGCAGAGGATCAGTGACGGCACAGATATTAGAGAAGATCTGTTTGGTGTTTCTATGAAACCTGTGAAAATATTACACCACTTCCTCCTCACCATTTACGACCCTAATGTGACAGCAGAGGTGTCCAGAAAGCTGACTCTGGCAGCTGCTGTGGCTGCAACTTAGCCTGTGTGACTCACACAAAGGAAATGTTGGACCAGACTAATGCAGGCTAAGTATCTCCTGAAACACTACTGTGTGCACACAGAGAAACACTGGAGACAGTTCACTGACCCAGTTATACATTCAGGTCATCGATAGCCTCAGACAGGGGATATAGTGAATCCCATGTCATCCAGATCTGCGCTTTGAAAGACACTAACTTATTTTTCCTTGACAAATTCACCTCCTGCATCTCACTGCTGCGCACACTATGACTGTGTTCTAGGGAGCAGATCGGGACACACCATCCAGACACCATCACTGGGGCCACAGCCCAAACTGTTGAGCAGTGCGTAAAAGTGGGACACCATACTGTCTGCCTCCCTTTATGAAAGTGTGCCCTTAGGTAACTGTTCGTCCATAATTGACCTTCCCGCAAACAAACATCTGCGATGCGACCGCCGTCTGCAGTGTTGTCCCTGCACGTGTCCCCTTACCTAAGTGGAGCCCCTCGCTTGCGATGCGTAAAGCTTCGGTGAAGTCGTTGGCTTTGAGCTTCTCCTGTAAATGGCACGTCGTCTTCGTCTCGCCGGGGCAGCACTTCTCCACGACGCTGATGAGCAAGACGTTGTTCCTCATGCTTTTCACCTCTCGTTGTTTTAACCTCTCTTTGCACGACGGGCATTTGGACGGGAGGTAGCCCCCCACGCATCTCCGGCAAAACGTGTGACCGCACGACATGGTCACCGGCTCGCACATCAGGAAGAGACAGAGCGGACACTCCAGCAGATCCATGGTGGATGGGTTATGTCACCGGTGAAAAAAAAATGAAAAAAGAAAGTCCCACCCGGTAAAGTGTTGCTTTTTTTTCCCGTCAAAGCGATGCAGATGGAGAGGCTGGTCTGTGTAATAGTACTGCATGGACCATTAACACACTGAGAGCTAGCGATACAGTGAATTTGATCACATCCGTTTCTGTCTAACTAGGCTAAATTTGAGCTATTACCCTCACCTTACAAATTCCCTTTGCAGATAAGATGTATCCATTGACACTGTCCATTTCTAACCCTAACTTCGTCTTCGGTTTGGGACTCCTAACGTCTTCCCCGTTCACGCACGCTGAATAAAACAAAACTCTCCCAATTCAACGCCCCGCTCTGAACTCCATAAACGCAACACTGAACCACGCCAGAATATTTTCCCATTAGTACTCTTTTCTTTTAAGTAGTCGTTGTCTGGCTTTCAAACCCGCTGTTTCGATGTATGCACAGCCACAAAGGTGGGTTACTGTGTAACACCATCACATTACATAAATAAGGATCACGTGGCGCAGCAGCGCGCAGCCCTATTGGCTGAGAGGCTGGCGTTCCGCCCTGTTGTGAAAGCCAAGGATGCCGAGTTTCGTAACATAATTTCTGCGACAAAAGTTCTTGGTTTTTGATATTCTATAGAATAAAAACGTGATGGGTGCTGAGCAGGAGTTGATAGGCTCGTGCGTCTAGTGACTGGAGTGATAATAATTCAACTCAAGGGTGCAGAATATGGAAATTACGCTGTCGTGGTTAAAGGGAATCCCAGCAGAGGATAATAACAGTCGAGGGGGACTCTTTTTTTCACTTACATGTGTGTGAAATGAAGCCACGTGCAAACATGGCAACATTGTGTAATGTCAGAAAAGAGCGTAAACGCCTTCGTAGAGGTGCAAACTGCATATGCAGGCTAAGTTTCTGTACACAAGTGAGTATGGAAGTCACCCAGGGTCAAATGAGGCTTTCAGCCTTCTTACATTCACATTATTAAAGCCTGCGGCCTCTGAGGGCCGCAAAGACACCTGTTAGAGCTTATTATAGCACATGCATATAGAAAGCCCAAATTTACCTTACGCAGCTTTCCCAAGCACATATTACTTAACAGACAAAGAAAGGTTCCACGTTTGTTGTTTTCAATGAAACATTATTTCTGTTGACTCTCTGCTACACTAGGACTAGACTTGGCAAACACGCCAGTAAAACCGCCTGGTCACAGAAGTCATACAAATAGGTATATTTCAACATTAAAATGTACTGTGTTGCATTAAGGAAATTTGGATCCTTCTGAGGAGATGCACGCATGGTAGAGTTGGCAAAATTAAACCGCTGCTGCTGCCAGAAGAAAGTGTTACACAAACACGGCAACAAAAGACGTTTTATATTGTTCTGTGATTCCATTAGAAGTAAAGTGAGGGAGGAGTGAGCCCATACATACTGACCTTCCCATGACCACTCTCTAGTGTGCAACGTGGCGACAGCTCTTAGATGATGTCTGAAATGATGGAACGTCAACACATAATGGGTTTAAATACATTAGGTCTCTGTGGTATGAAGCAGTTTCCCTAAAAACATTGATGGGTTTAATGAACACTGGAGCGACTGCATTGCACTTCTACTGGAATTGGAAATGTCTTTATTGGTTTTATTACAAAAACGGAAAGTTGGCAACCCCAGTTAATCTGTCTAATGTTTACCTTCACAGGGACTGTTAATAATATCTACATAATGGTTGTTAAATAAAACGGCATCCAACTCCAGATAGGATTTCAGGCCCAGTGAAAACACAGCAAACGTTTTTCATACTTACTATGTACATACAGCATACAAACAGTTTAGGTGTAGAAAAAGAAACAACTACTCAACTTAAGCAATTTCATCAATAATACTGCACATGGCAGCATCCTTGTCCAACATTTTTTCCCTCTTTAACGTAGGGACGCTCTTGTCCTGGTGACCTGCTGCCATACAGCTGGCACCTGCCTCCTCTACATCCATTGGTTCTGTTTTGAGCCGGGGGGCCTGTCCAGAAGAACCAACAGTAGATCCTGCAGACACGATCCTTGGCCCATCGCCAACGCCATCCGAACCCTCCATCTGTGGCAAGTCATCGGGTAACGAGGCAAGGCACCCCTGGATCATCTCCACCACCCTCTCCAGATGTTTCTGGAACCTCTCAGCTGTCTCTAGCCTCTGTCTCTTCTGCACCTCCATCATCACCCTCAATGTCTCCCTGGCTTGATGTGGCCTGTACTCATTTATCAGGTGGTGCATGTGTACAAACAGAAGCTTCAAGTCCTCCAGCTTCTCCTCACGCTTGATACTGCCGGGGCTTTTGATAAGGATGTCCAGCAGGTCCAGAAAGTTCACAAGAATGGACATGTTGAGCTTCTTAAGCTCCCGTTTGTGGTCAAACTGCATAGGATGGAGCCTCTCAATGCCCTGGCTCTCCAGCGGCCGGATGATGAGTTCATCGCACTGGAACTGGTTGCCAAACATCATGTAGCTGTCTCTGATGGGTGGAGGGGGCTTAGGAGCCAGACCCTTGCGGATGTTTTCATCGGTGTACTCTTTGATGTACTGCATAGGTGGAGGAGGCAGGGCACTAACCTGCTGTGGTTCACCCATGATGCTGACCTGAAACAGTAACAAAAATGTGAAAATCAGTTTTCTTTACCAAGCGATGCAAAACAAGTTCTTTGCTTTTTTTAATAAGAAATCAGTTGCATTTTGTATGCCAGTTGTGAATTTAAATAAACCACTTTAGGTTTCATCTATACAATTTTAGCTGTACTGTAAGTACTTAAAAAGCGTCATGTCTAAAAGCTAAAAAAAAGTGTTATACAAAAGCACACAAGTTGAGCAACACTCCAGGCAAATATGTCGAGAGTACAAGTACTCATTGCAAAGAAAGGCATCAGTATTGAAAAGTACTTCAAAGCAGTAATGTGTTAAGTAAGCTTCACAAAACCATTCAAATGTGTTTAAATACAACATGTCTACAACGTTAGCCAATTTAAATTTAGTCAGTTTCTACCTTTGAGGGGAAAAAAACTTTAAAAGTTGTGCTTTTGCCGACAACCGAGGCTACATACGTCCGCTTCCATTCGCAGAAGCGGTAAGATCTTCCCCATAATAAGTATGCATGAACAAAGTTAGCATGCTAGTTGTCAGACATGGTGAGGGCTAACGTAATGAGCGAGCGATGCTAGTTACGTTAGCGCCCAGTTAATGGTCCTAACAATTGGTGAGCACGTACTATCGATAACTAAAACAGTATTCACGTTGTCGAATGTGTATCTCAACATACAACTAGATGCACTTAGGTGTTAGCAGAACCACTGTGGTTCAGAGGAAGAATGTAGCTAACTAGCTATGTGGCTAGTATTGGGCTAGCAGTACCTCTGCCAGCCTCTGCTACCTAGCTTCGTTACGTCGGTAACATTGCCACAAACTAAGCGAATGACAAAAAGACAGCGACGATTCTACTACGCACCTCTTAAAACGACTCCTTAGTTGCTGAATGTAGACCTTAGATATGAAATGTCACAGAAATATCTACGCTCATGACTAGCTTAGCTCCTTCCATTCACTGACGTCACCGTTCGTCTCTGCTCCAATCCCATTGGCTGAAGTATACTCGTGACGACATGTGGTCGTGCGGATTGGGCTGTACCTGAACAACACACTAAAAACTGAGTAGTCTTAATATTTAGAAGCATGACAAACGCAGAGCCGGCTGGACAAATGTTTTTTTGTTTATAATGCCATGGTTGTCTTGTAGTGATAAAAGCGTCATTCTTATGGTGATGGTGGGATGCAACGTAAAAAGGTACGCTTCTTTTTACGGCATCATTTGTTGCTTGCTCATTATAAAACATGTCCCTTATGATAATAAAGCATTTATACAGTGACGTTAATTTAATTAGTTGTAATTTTTATGACATTAGGCTCTATAAAATGTTTTAGCCAAAACGGCCTTCGTGTGAACAAAAACCTGGAAAAATAATACGACCATTAATAATAATGACAATACTGCCACTACTACTAATTATAATAGTGATAATACTCATAATTATTATTATAGATTATTTCAACACGTTTCAAGCAAAATGCACAAAATGTTTTCCAGAGTTAAAAATCTAAAATACAATTGCAGAACACAACCATCATCAGTTACTTGAGGCATACAATTACACAACATTGTATCAGGTTTTAGAAAGTACAGAAATGAGCAATGTAAATTTATATTGTACAATAACAAACTGAAAATGTATTAGTTGTTAATAAAGTCAGTTGTAAAGTCAGTCATATGTGATACAGCCTCCAGTCCAATGCAGGATCATTTTGCAGACAGCTGTGGACATTATTGTATATAAAGTCCTTCAATCTGATTTTGTTTAATCATGAAAACAAACAAACTTTATACATTTTTATTTTTTTTAATGAGATTGTAGATATTGAAATGCTCAAATTGGACAACATTCATTTACATTTTTCAATCTTTATAAAGGGCCTGGAAGTTTATTTTGAAATGTCAAAAATTCGATTTTCTTTTTACTAATCTCATAGTAGAGTGCATATGTGATATAACACTTTTACACCGTTCAAAATAATAGAAATATTAAATAGAAATAATTTTACCCCTATACTAAATGTTAAAAAGTTTTGTTTTTTTAATCCTCAACAATGATTTTCTTCCATTGTTTTCCTTTTCTACCCTCTTTGTCTTTTTACAAAAGAAGGCCTTTCCTTCAGTGAATATTGTGCCAGACCAGATGGTGGTACAATCTCATCCAAAATTTGAATGCAAGCTAAATTGTAGGAACAACTTTCCTGATGGTGGTGCTATTCTATGTCTTGTGAGAATGAAGAGTTTCAGTTTAGAACCCTCAATTAGAATCGGTCTCTATTTGTCTGATTATTGTAAGGTAGAAAGACAGAGAGACATTAAAAAAAGACACAAAAACAGAAAACATATCTCACGACTGCTGTATGAAATCAGAGACAGATATGAGTTTTAGTTTATGCTCTCAATATTTTGTGAAATTACCACCCCTATCCAGTCTTTACATTTTTACCAAAACTTTATGCCATTGTCAGAGTACAATACAAGCTGCATACCTTTGGTGGAAAATGTTCAGAAGTGCAGAGATTAAAGAATCGCCTTCCTATTGCTGCACACACTGGCTTATTGCAACATAGCTAGTGAAAGTACATGTAAGTGCTTGTGCTTGTGTGTGTGTGTGTGTGTGTGTGTGTGTGTGTGTGTGTGTGTGTGT